TATATATGTAAAAAAAAATTAATTTACAAAAATACACATGCCTGATTTAACCAAAGAGGCTTTTCTATCAACTCCCCTCCTCCCCTCCCACATACACAAAGTAAACCTCTATTTCCTATCTACACAGTGGGACTGGGAGAGAAATATGAAATTACCACAATGAGATAGTTATGAGCAACATAGGTGTGAAGAATATTACATTATTGCTATATAGTTTGAAGAAAAAAAAAACCATATCCATTGAGGTTAACCGAAAAAGAAAGCATCTTGCATCCTCTGAACCCTAAACCCACAGCTGATCTAGAGAAAGCCCCCCAAAAAAGTATAGTCCAATTTGTTGTACCATGGAAAAAAAAATCTTTCCTAATTCTTAAATGTATTTGGATATCAGTACAGATCAACATTCTATAATGACACTTGATTTAGTATCATTATTAGTAGCCATTTATATTTTGTGCATATATGGTAAATATACTGTATGTTTATAGTGAAAATATATTCTTTGCATAAATGTAGCTCCCATGACTCATACCCTAATTTCTGGATTAATTGGTAAACCCTGCTTTCCCTAGTCCAATGCTACTTAAGTCCTACATTCATGTACACTAGTAAATTGCTCCGTTTGAAAAAAGGAAATGCTTTTTACATTTTAAAATTCTCATTTGTTTTTGATAATGACAAAGTGAAACAATCACTTACGGAAGGTTTGTAAAGAATAATCTTCATGTCCGTTAGATGAGCCGCAGTATGTGTCAGTTTTGCAAAAGTATGAATGAGATTTGAGAACACAGTTTTGAATCTTAATTCCACTTCAACTCCACATGAGAACTTTACCATTTGTTTGGGGATTTCTGAAAAACAGGACAGATCAGACAGCGTTAGAAGTTTCATAAACATCAGTCCATCTTTCCAAGTGGACATTTGATGAGACTGCATTCTGCTACCACAATACCAGTTTATACTTACATGTTTGATTAAAGGAGAACTATGGGGTCAGTGTTTTTCCCCATAGTTCTCCTTGGGGTAACGGGAGGACACAAACTAGCGTCCTCCCGTTACCCTAAGCTCAGTATACCGCGAGCTACAGCTCGCGGTATACTGAGACGCCGCACCTGGAGCGGATCCCGACGTAGCTGACGGGATCCGCCCAGCTGCGTGAGTGACAGCTGGCTCTGCCTATCTAGAGGCAGAGCCAGCTGTACCCGCCCCCTCCCCCGTCCGTTCCGCCAGTCAGCGCTGGCAGATCGGAGCGGGGAGAGGGGAATCCAGCCCCTCCCCCTGTCACGGCAGAGAGCCGTGAAAGGATCGAGAGGTGAGGGAACCCGGTATGTGTTCCCTCACCTCCCGATCTACTAAGCCGACCTGTGACAGTCTCATTGTCACAGGTCGGCTTAGAACTATGAGGTGAGTGGAAATCACTCATCTCATAGTTCTCCTTTAACTATACCTATGTAAAACATCACAGCTAAATACAACCTTTTATTCAATGTTAACAATCATTTTAGGTTAAAATGATGAGTAAGGAGGCTTCTATTGTCCTTTATGGCGACTACTGAAATGGAGGCTGAAACATGAATAAAAAATAAAAAATCTATCAAAGCTTCATCACAAGTCTATTCACTTCTAATAAACTTTGTAAAACCAAGTATATTCCAGGAATCAGTCTTCCATATCAGTTAGGCAGTAGCTTCTGTTTAACAAGCTTATTTCCTTGTATTTGGTTACCACAGTGGAGCTTAACTTTTGAGCTTCAGTGTTTTATTAGCTCAAATTGAGGAAGTTCAGGGATTACAAAAATAAAATTCCAGACAGCTTTAAGCACTGGTCTAGTTAATACCCACCTGGTGTTGTTAACAGCTAATCAGAATCTCCTTTCATTCTGCTATACTGCCAAGGGAGAGAGGGGCTAGAGAGGTGGAGAGGGGCGCAGACAAGTAGAGAATGGTACAGTGAGAGGGTGCACAGAGAAGTGGAGAGGGGTCCAAACAGTCCCAGATGGGTACTGGAATAGGGTGCATAGAAAAGTAGAAAGGGGTCCAGACAGTCAGAGATGGGTATAAGGAATGGGTGCACAGAGAAGTGGGAAGGGGTCCAGACGGGTGGAGATAAGTATAGGGAGAGGGTGCACACAGAAGTGAAAGGGGGCCCAGACAGTTGAAGATGGGTATATGGAGAAAGGTGCACAGAGAAGTAGAGAGGGGTCAGACAGGTGGAGATGGTGTCATTGCTGTCACAGGAGGCTGAGCTTTCCTCCTGTACCGCCCAGCTCAGTCTCCTGTGACAGCTGTCAGGATGGAGAGCGGGTACAAACACTCAGCGATCGCTGAGTGCTTGTAAATAATTGAGGACAGAGTATGTTTACTGTATCCTCAATTATGAATGAATGGGAAGTGATCTACATCACTTCCTGTTCATTCATGATTGTGGATATAGTAAAACTCACTAAGTCCACAAGTTATGAATGAACAGGAACACTCAGTATAGAGGATTCCTGTTCATTTATAACAGGGGCTGCAGAAAAGAGATTGAGTGCTCTGTGTCCTCAATCTCTTTTTCTTTTTTAAAAGGGAAATATCAGGGGTCTCTTTAGACCCCTAATATTTCCCCGAAGCCCCTAAAAGTAAAACATTTAAAGTATTTAATAAAAATTAATTAATAAAAATTAAATATAAAAAAATACATAAATAAAATGTTTGAAAAAATGTGAAAAAGAATAAAAACATTTTCGATCTAACATTTTTTTCATTTCAGTTTCGTTTAGCTTTTGAAATTTTCATTTCGGTGCACCTCTAGTAACAACTTGCCAGCGACAGAAGGTTCAATTTACCTTCCTCCACAGCAGCGCTACCTCACTGGCTAGACCAGCAAGATGTAGCTCCATCACTGCTCCCAACAGTAGAAATTGAGATTTAGCCAGTGAGTGACAACGGTAAAGCAGATTAGGACTTTGGTGGTGTAAAATTGCCAGTGTGACATCAGCCTTCCATAACACATGCACAGTCACACTAGGCAAACATGCACAATAATTCACTCTGCAGACACACCTGCTGCCAGCCGTATATCTGAGGAACAACAGTAATTGTTTATTCAAATCTTTCCCAAATTATAAGTCTTTCCTTCAACAAAAGTTGGTCTGTGGGAGTTCCAACATACTGCCATTTGCTAATCTAACTACAGTCAAGTGAATCATGCAACTATTGTTTTTTGGCTACCTTTAAGGTGCCCACACACCTTATGATAATCGTGGGAAATCCTGCGATCGTACGATTATCGTAAGATGTGTGAGAGCCGTGCGGCCTCTCCTATTGTAAGTTCGCACGACTTTTATCTTAGGAACATGTTCGAAAACCAGCCGAACATCGTACGATGTTCGGCGGGTTTGTGGCATGTTCGCAAGATAAAAGCCGCACGGGCCGGTGTGCGCAAGCGCACACTGCCCGTTCAGCATTACGGTCATCGGAAGCCCGTCCCTCAGCAGGGCAGGCTTGCGATCATCGCAAGTACGATCTGCCTGTCCAATACGGTTAATTTAACATGACAATGGTAAGTGTCTTTTGTTCTGCAATAAAAATGGAGATATGCATGTGCTGAAATCCAGATAGCATTTATACAGTATATATATATATATATACACACAGGTGCTAAAGAGGTGTGACCACATGTTAATACTTAAACTACTGGATTAACCCTCTGCACACTGCTATAGACCCGTACATATTTCTAGCAAACATTTAACTAGAAATATGGATTCTTGGTTAGCATATATTGCAACACATGTTCAAACTGACCAACAATGTCAAAGTGATCCGTCTCTGGCCAGTTCCTACTCCACCGTGCAATATGCCAAATACTTAGTTGCTTATAGCAAACTTGAATCTTTAATAGACAATAGTGCCAATATGTGGAAGACAGACAATGTTGGAAGACAGCTACAGATTCACTGACCTGCACCATGCAATAGAAAAGGAGATATGTCTACTGAATTCAAAAATAACTGACTATCTGGCACAGTAAAATGGGGACTGCCCAGAGAAAGATCACTTGGACGCAGTTGGTTAGCTTGAACATGTGAATGTGAGCCAAGAGTCCCTGTTTTTATGCAGTGGTTTGTTAGAGATGTGTGGGGATGTATAGGTATAGCTGTGTAGAAAGGGTTACTTGGAAAATGTAATTCTTTTCTGCCTTGACTCAGATATGCAAAATATGGATTTTGATTGCATTTTTCTTAACTAGTTTTAAGTTTTTTTTACTCATTATTTAGGAATGAGCACAAGTACAGCCAAAATAGTACAAGGAATTCTTCCAATCGCAGCTGGAATTAAGAACAAAATGTCAAGAGACATAAGCGCACATGTACAATAAGCGTTTCAACCATTGCATAACATGAGCCCAGCATACCCAAACCTCTCTCTTGTTTTTGGTCCAGGAAAGGCAGCTAGGAAACATCCCAGTCATGTATCATATAGATTATAACTAGTGCTTATGCTGTGCAGATTGTACATTGTGCAAGTGGTTAGAGGGACAAATGAATTCAATGCATTAGACCAAAATGAGAGGCAATGGAAGAGGAAAGATGGACAGAGGGATTTCATTGCAAAAGAGGGACAGTCCCTCCAAATGAGGGACACTTAGTAGCCACAGCCATAGCTTCCAACGTATATAAAAAACTGAAGGTTCCCAGGCAGTCATCATCCTCTGACTTTACTAGTTAGAGGAATGCTGGCCCAAAACAAGTAAGGCCTAGCTCTCATCTGCATCATTGCTCTGCGTGATGCCTTCAGTATTATTATAAGGGTGTAAGATACTTACCTCTGCCGTTCCATGTCCTTTCATTTCTGGGATCGGAGCTCAGCGCCGCCCGCTGTCAAACAAGCTGGCGCTGCATTACTGGGCTTCTCCTCTCTAGCAGCTAAAGCTGGGAGATTCAAGATGCATGACGTTTAAGCAAATTGCCTGACACCAGGTATCTTTGATCTCTCTCCACTCTCCATCCTTAGTGAGCAGTCCTAATTAACCCTGCTCTCCATCCTGTCCTGAGAAGTGAGCCATCCTGATTAACACCGTTCTCCATCCTAAGAAGTGATCTGGCTTGTTTAACCTCCGCTCTCCATCCTGTGCAGTGAATTGCCCTGGTTAACCCTCCGCTCTCCATCCTGAATAAGGACACTATAAATTAACCCCATGCTAGTCATCCATCCAGGGTGACATCTTCAGTCAAGCTTTACCCTCGCAGCACATCCCTTCTAACTGCTAGCTCCAGCGGGTGTCTACTGGAGGAGTATTCATGGTTAACCCTGAACTCCCACCGCTCTGCACATAACAGAAGTATTGACGCTACTAACAGCAAGTACCTTTCTTTCCTCCTTTTTATCTATCTTCATTTCTGTGACTTTATTTCCACGGACTTAGATACAGTCTAAAACATTTAATCGAGCTATACCTCACCAATGTTTTATTTACTTCTGTTCTATTTTGTATTTTGGGTGAGTTTCCGCCTCTTCCTCCACTGTTTGGCACTTTATTATATGTTACCGTATGCAGTGTATGCTCTTATTATGTCTTTCTTCTGTTGCATGTGGTATTTCCCTTTTTTTGGTTCTTTGATTGTGACTTTTGTAAATTTTGATAAATCCTTAATAAACTTACATTGACTTAAAACATTCATCGAGAGGTATCGCATAGTTTAAGTGGACTTCCTTATGCATATTGTTATTACAAATAGTGGGACCATCTTTGTTCATTATACAGTATGAAAGTGGCTATATGAAGTAATATGGTTGCGTGAAACTACTACAACCTCTTACTTTAATTAAATGCCTATGTTGACTCATTCCTACCGTGGAAGTGACTTCCTCTGTTCAGTATTGTTGAACTGTTGCTAGCCACATGGAAACATCCACAGTTGCGGTCTGAAACCGAATTTAATTGTTAGAGGGGACTAAGGTCCAGTGTTGATAGACTTTTGTTTGCTTTAGAACTGTATACAGACACTCCTCGGTATTTGGTAGGTGTGGCATTGCGTGGCAATACCACGGTATAAGGTGGCATCATAGCCACCCAGGACTCTCAGCCAGAAGGGCTAAGCGGTTCTAAGAAACAAGTACTTTCACCAGGAAAGAGCTGGCTTTGCAATTGTTTCTGGGTTTTCTGGATTATAGTTGGGATCCGGGAACTGGGAAATTTCTAAGAGAATTGGAAGGGATGAAATCTCCATTCCTGGGTCCGGGCTCTAGTAGTGACCAGCACCCAATAATTCTGCAACCTTTATGAAAAGGCTGCTGGCTAGTTCCACCTGGGAGACAGAGGTGGTGTCTGTCCAGGATTCAGGAGGACACCATCCTGGAACCAGCCTGTGTGGCTAGTCTGTTGGATACAGCCTGTGTGGGAAAGGTTTAAAGTGACAACCTGAAGTTGGTGAGGCTTTGCAAATGTTATTTTGCTGAAAGACAAAGCTGAACTTTGTGTTAATATGTCGTAGAAACCCCTGTGAGTAAAAAACGTCTGAACTTTGAAATAAAAGCCCTAAAAAGAAGTTTGCGAGTGGACTACGTCCTTAAAGCTCTACTATCTGAATCGAAATCTCACTTGGGGTTACGTTCTGATAAACCCATCATAGGGCGATCCTATTTGATTGATCTCAAACTTATGTCAAATGCACGTTGCATCTGTCCATCGAAGCCTATCAACACAGGCCCTAATTCGGTTTTTCTTTAGACTTTACATAGGCTCCATCTGGTGTCCAATTTGCATTACTTTGTAGTAATGCTGATGATTTATAGTAATAACTTTATAGATAATTAGAATTGGAAGACCTTATCCTTAGGCCTAATTCACATGAGCTTCAGCTTGTGCAAGTAGTTAGAGGGATAAAGGTACCAACACCAGAAACCTGCAGGGAAGGCCCTAGAGTGCTGAAAGATGAAACATATTTATCACTGAACAATATGAGAAAGTTAGAACATACATTTGCATGGTCACAGGATCAGTGGTTTTGTCTTCAACCATTTTCATTGACTACAGAGTGATATGTAAAGTGCAGACACTAGAGGTCACCATCTCCTCTACTTACTGCTACGGTGATCCCACACGGTCCTATTGAGTCGGTCGCTTGCTGAGGTGCAAATCTTGTCAGTCAGAGCTCGGCACTCTTTCACGGAGTGCCTTATTTCCATTACTTGTTTTCCAATTACCAGAGGATCTCTGCCTATGTCTTCACGTTGTATAGAAAGAAAAAAAATACACTGTTACAACATATGTCATCTTCCTGTCCTTTGCGTTATACATTATGGCCACCAGATACAAAAGTTTTGTTGATTTCAGACATTAACAATCCTGCTTTTTGTTCTTGAACAGCTGCCAACTCCCAGGTCTTTGATATTTGTCCCTGCAAATATCTCCAATTGTGAACTTTGAGCATCTCAATAAAAGCCCTTCTTGTTTGTGATTTCACGTGCAATTCTTTAGATAAACTCCAGACAAAAAGCTGAATACACAGATACTGTAAATTGCATACAGTATATGATAGATGTTTTACCTACCAAAAGATTTGTCCTTCTGTTCATCCAGTCCTTTGATTAACACATCGCTGCCCCACAGCACAACCCAAATGCTGGCCTGCTGACAGATGTTTTCACACCATGGTTTTCCACTCCAGCCTTAGAAAAGGGATTATGTGCAGGGACTGTGAGTTTAGAGTCTATCGGTCTTATGTTGTTAATTGAATAAACTGCGATGAAGGGGGATTCCTGACCTCCAAAACGCATTGGCTTTTTTTTTAACTCTTGAGACAATTGCCTGGTGTTCTCTTAAGTTTTATTTCACATGGATTTGTCATTCTGATGGTCCCTTCCCTCTGGAGCAGTGGTCCCCAACCCCCGGGCCGCGGACCGGTACCGGTCCGTGGATCAAATGGTACCGGGCCGCCCAAGGAACGTGTGCGACTTTCCATGGACGAGAGGTTTAAGGCCGTGACACACTGCAGGCGAAGCAGTGCGGCGCACAGGCGAGCGGCGACTCGCTGTCCTTCGCCTGCAGTGTGTCTAGTGAGTTCCGCTCCCCCGCTCTGCCCGGCGACAGCGTGCGTAGCGCAGCGTCGTGAGATGAAAAAGTTCATCTCCAGCCAATCGCAGCGCGCGATGCAAGGAAGGCATCACAAAGCGGCAACACGCGACCAGCCAATCAGATCACTCAGTTGTGAGTGATCAGTATCTGCTTGTGTTTGTATTTGCCTGTTTGCAAATGCGTCTTGTCAGTCCAGAGGAGAAGTGTCTGTGGTATGTTCATACAGCCTAGTGCTATCCTATCCAGCACTAAGGCACTTTTAGCAAAAAATAAAAAGACATTTATCTACATTGAATTATAAAATGAAATATATTACATGATATGCTTAATTATTTATTTTATTAATATCAATTAATAATTAAAAAATGTATTAATTAATTATTCATTTGATTATTAATAAAATAAATACAACGGCGATAAAAAGGTTGGTGAGCACTGCTCTGGAGGGCCCACATTTTTTGAAGAGCTGCCACAAAAAAAGCCATCAGGCCAAAATACTGCTCCTATTCTGAGAAATGTTGTGGTCCAGCTCCTCATCCCTACTTCCCCTTAGTAGGGCAGGTGACCTGATCATTCTGTGCAGCAGTTTTGCTTTCACTTCCAGGTCCCTACCCTTACCCTGTGACCAGACACATAAAAGGAAAGAAACAGCACACCAATGAGCTCATCTCTCTGCTCTCTCCTCTTATCAGCATGTTCATTGCATTGCAGCACACCTTGTTGGCTGATTGTGCTAATTCTCCCCCTCTCTGTACAGTAGACTTCATGAGGCTGATACCAAGTCAAGTGCAAGTACTTACACTGTCTTTTACATCTACCTGGAGTTCATTTGTGTATCTGTATAACTTTTTAAAATTGTTATTTTATATGGGCAGAGAAATCTCTTCCTGCCACCATGTGATTGGACTGGTGCCTAAGTATCCAACTGCCAAGCAATAGTGCTGTTACATAGGAAAGGGCGCGGGTCACATACTCCCCAATACAAAAGTACCGGGTAATTCACCAATTCCCTTCAATCTCGGTGGCAAACAAAGTTCCAAGGAAACAAAGGGAAGGTGAGTATTAACTGCTGCAGGGGGCAGCATGCAAAGACAAAAAATTACTTCACTTTAAAGACTTTAGTTGCAGACAAGATGAGAACGACCCTTTTTGTTTTGAATCCATTTTCTATAACAAGCATTTCTCTGGTTTATTCTGCTTCCACCAAATAAGAATTACCTTCAAGTACATCCTCCAACATGTGAGTAACTTTCTTTTCCTTCAGAATGTGCTTCTTCAGATATGTCATAAAAATACCAGAGCTGAATTCCTCGTCCTGAACTTCATAGGCTTCTGCATTCTCACTCCTGTTTACAGAGATGCAAAAATATCCAATTTTGAGGATTCTTTACATATTATACACCAACTTCAAATATATTATCAATCTTGAGAATAATACATATTAAAGAACACACCCAGGCAGTCAACTGCTAATATTTTAGGAACCTTTGCAGTCACAAAATCTACACCATTATCTTCTAACCTTTTTTTCATGTAATTCATTGCAACCAGATGCATCAGACTTTTTACTGTGGTTTTGGCTGTACTGCAGAATTGTGTTTCAAAGTTCTGTACTGTGAAACCTCCCTCTCATGATCCAATAATGGAGACCTATAATTGTCAGAGATTGTCTCCCAAGACTGCACACAAATATCATAGCAATGCAGATGATGTGTTAGTGAACACTGAGTGTGTTTTGTGCAGCACACATACTGTATGCCTCTGAAGTGTATCCCATCTACATAAAAAGACTGTCAAGTGATTTCTTATGTACTCCATCTAAATACATGTACTGAGATAGCTGTATTAAACCAGGTTTGATAAGAAATATATCAGAGCTGTGACTATACAGATGAGGAAGAGGGACAGCTTTTAGTACAAGGTATGTAGGCATCAGACACACTACTGTCATGTCCCCTGATTACAGTGCCCCCAAAGAATTAATACACAGAAAATGACTACTGAAACCCACAAGTACTTTCTTTCCACTGTTTTGTTTTTTTTACTGGCTTTTAAAAATAAGAAATGAAAACATTTAGAGGTTGGGTAAAATTCTTAATGTAGTAGAACACGTAGGTAGTTAAATAGCAAATATATATATTACAATGCATGAATTCAATGCATTAGACAAAAATATGGGACAAAGGAGGAGGAAAGAGGGATTACGTTCTTATAGAGGGACAGTCCCTCCAAATGAGGAATACTTGGAAGCTATGGCTACCAACTTATATTAAAAAATGAAGGTTCCCAGGCTGTCATCTTCCTCTGACTTTACTAGTTAGAGGAATACTGGCCCAAATCAAGTAAGGCCTAGCTCTCATCTACATCATTGCTCTGCGTGATGTCTTCATCACTATTATAAAGGCCAATGTCGACAGGCTTTTGTTGTAATGATTTATGAATGATCTCAAACTTATGTCAAATGTACGTTGCATCTGTCCATCGGAGCCCGACACAGGCCCTAATTCTGTTTTTCTGCTATGTGCCTTAGACTTTACATAGGCTCCATCTAGTGTCCAATCAGCATTACTTTATAGTAATGCTAACGCTTTATAGTAATGTTTTATAGTAATAACATTTTACTAGGTTATTACGAGTGAAATACCTTCTTAGGCTTATTTCACGTGAACTTCAGCTTCTATAAAAGCAGTGTGAACACCAAGTTTTTGTGAATGTAGTTCCTAACTGTCCCTGATTTGAAAGAACTATCCCTCTTTTGGGATCAAAAACCCTCTTTCCCCCTCAGTTGTCCATCTAATTGGCTATATAGACTAATTAGTCTTATCCGCAGTATAGACTGCTAAAAAAAAAACTAAATAAATATAATATCATATTTAACTACCAAAAGTGTTCTACTACACTAAACCTTTCATCCCTGTTCACACCGCTCTTATACAAGCTGGACCTAGGCTTTGAGGCTCTGTTCACACCTAGGTATTTTGTCACTCAAAGCTAAGAGTGACAAAAAACGCTCAAAACAAGGAATCCCATTCATTTCTATGGCAGCGGTTCACATCTGAGCGTTTTGTTACAAAGTTTCCCTTTGAAGTCTATCGGATCAACAAGCGCTGTAATCTGCCAAAAAGTAGCTCATGTACTGTTTCCAGCGACAGGCGTTTTTCCGCTTGCAACAAAACACTAAAGTGTGAACAGGGTCCATAGAAATGAATAGGATTCCTTGTCTAGAGCGTTTTGTCGTCCTTAACTTTGAGAGATAAAACTCCTAGGTGTGAAGGGGGACTAATCCTTTTCCTTGTGGCAGCATCGCTGTTAAGCACGCAGAACTGCTGGTAATCCTGAAACGTTGCTAAAAACAGTTACATTCCTATGTTATCAGTCGCCTGCAATTTTCTACCATGTCATGCCGCTTGGCCAGAAGCATGTGCTTCCTGCTGTTTATTTAACATACCTATGTTTGCTTTTGTCCTATAGCATACTATTGTATAGTGTATTACGCAATGTCATTTCCTGTTTTCTTTCTCGTTTCACTGCATGTAATAAAAGTATATATCAAGTAACACTTATAACACCTTCATCTGTAGCCAGATGCAAATTATTATATTTCTGTGTGCTATGGCACCTTGTCCAAAGTACTGAGCCCTACTGCAGGCAGTATTTGCCTAGATAATAAAAGACAAATCCTGAGTTGTCACTATGAAAAATAGCATCAAAAAGAAGAAAGTCTCCAGCTAGCCAAGGATGCATGTCATCTCACATAATGTCACATAATATCAAGATACCAACATTTCGAGTGCCTGAAAAGTTAGCATCTTCAGTTTATGTGACATTATGGGGGGAATTTATCAATTTTGGAGCAGACAGAATTTGGAGCAGTTGCCCATGGAAACCAATCAGCATCTCTCTTCAGTTTGCTTAGGTAAGATTTGAAAATGAGACAGAGAAGCTGATTGGTTGCAGTGCAAATTGTTAGTAAAATAGCCACCTTTGTTTATCTCGGAGTATTGATAGGTGAAAACTAAAAGTTCAGTCTTACAGATAAAGCTGGTAAGCCATTTTAACACCCACAAATATGTTAGTTGGGTTGGTGTTAGTCGGGTTGAGCATCTCACATTAGTTTTTGAGGAACCAGCCGGTGAGAAAGGTAACAGAAGCTTCGACCACATATGAACAGAGGAAGCACCACTTCCACTTAGCAGAAACAAACTTCTCATCTGTTCCAGATTTAGACACATCAAAGCTAAACCGCCTACTGTGGTAAGAGCTCAGCATCAAGTGCAAAGTTTGAAAGCAACCAGAAAAGTAATTTAAGCAGAAAGGGTACACAATTTCTAAGAAATGTTTTTTCCTATCCCTGTGCTTTGCCCACAGGGTCTTAGGTTGGCTCACATATGAAGAAATGCACCTCTGAGCTTGCAGAGGGGATTATTGAATGCATGAGTAATACACACTGGTTTATGAACACTGGAGACCACTTAATATATTTCTTATTAACATCCAACATTACTTAAATATTCTACCCATGGTCTCATACTACATTGTTGTTGGTAAATCTATTGCACTTTGCAATCAGATTGCAAGGTGTATTGCTAGTTTAAAAGGTGTGTTTAATGTGTTTGACCAAATGTGGCAAAATCACTTATTCAAGATGGCTTCCTTTCAGCATAGAAAAGGTAAAAATTCCCTCATCATGTGTGTTCCAAGTCAGGCTGAAATTGCACTACTGTGACAAGAACAGGTAGATGTCCTGCCTACAGGCAGCCTAAGCGTAAGGGTAATGTCTATCACCTGTTTTTAGTAGACTCATATAGTATGACTGATTTAAGACCTTGTTAGGCTGATTGTTTTTATCTGATTTTTTGGTTTGCTCTATTCTATTATACAAGCTGTTGCTCAAAGCAACACTATCCTCTATGGGCTGTTCTAGAAACCAAAGCTACATCCCACCACAAACTAAAGGACTTACGTGGCATATCCATAAACAGTGTTGCCCAGTGGCTTCAGAGGAGTCACTGTAGATACTGCACAGTCTGAATTATACCTAAAGAAGAAAAGTAATATTAAAATGTGTTAGAAAAACAAAACATCAGCGTAATGTGTTTCTGTGGCTGTCTAACAAGCAAATCTACCTCTGGAAATTGGCCATCTAAACCCATTGTGGTAGCAAAGCCAGTTTGAGAATTATGGACCATGGCACAGTAAGAGAGGGAATTAAAGAAAACTGTAAAAAGATAATCTTGAGCTGAATAAGAAAAAGAAATTCACAACAAAACTGCAAGTTCTGACTTTTACTGCACACCCTCCATTAATGTAATACTATTACATTCTGTGTTTCTAGTATGTGGCTGATGAGTGCTCTCACATAAATAACGGGGATGGACACTGAGATGACAAGACTCTTCACATCTCCATCTCTTTGATATCCTTACTTTCATTCTGCCCTATTACCCACCAAGCCTATTTGGTTAAGGAAACTACCAATGTATTTTTTTCTTTTCAGCACTGTTAAGTATATAGACACAAATGAAGTAAAAACCAGGTGTACATTTTTACAATATGCTCATCAAAATGTGATCAAATCTCAGTGAATGCTTTTAAAGAAATGACTCATCCAGATGAAAATGTTTAATGCTGTTGCATATCTTACATCCAATGCAATTATATTCAATGTATGGATTTAAGCACAACATCTTCTTGAGGAAATACACATACCACTTCCTGCAAGTATCTAGAAGAACCACATTCAAGGCAGTCCTTCTTTCTTGCATCTTCTGTAGGATTCTCTGAACGCTGATGCAATTTTCAGGCCTGTATGGCTGGGGAGCATCAATAGGGACCATGTAGTTCCTCCCAGAACGTTCATACCCATGACCAGCATAATAAAATAGCCCTGAATGTGCCAGAAAAACATACATGTACAAGTCAAAAGTGGAAAAGGTTAAGTGTGCAAGATTTTATGCATGTTATCATTTTGTGCTGCATTGTTAAAAGGCCGCTGTTATTCAAAGATATACATTTATACAGAATGTGTAACCTAACAGCTTTTTTTAAATACTGCATTCACATACATAATTATGTATTATTATTTCTATCTTTACATTTTTCATTGTTTCAATTGTTAAAAATTATAGTCAAGTGGTTATAAGTGATAATATTTCTCCTTTTGTCAAATCTTTGTAAATCGAGCCTGTTATTTATTACTACACAGATTGTGGTTAGCATGCATTATTCAGTTCAGCAACTATAATGGACGTGCTCCATTCCTTTGTAAATTAAGCTATACTTTCTTCTTCATTAACTGAATGCAGAAGCTAGAGGTTCCATTACTCATACATAAACCAAGTCAAGCTTTCACTTTAAGCCCAAACAGGTTACAAAGCACAGTTTCTTGACCTTGACAAGGTCACTTAGGGCTGGCTGTGGCTGTCTGTGGGTATTATTAGCGAGTGATGCAAACGTTCCTGGAAGGGAGATATATATCTACACCAGCAACAGGCCAGGGAGCATCACAAGCCAGGGCATGAGCAATACTTTAAAACTAAGTCTCCCAAGAGGAAACGAATATAGTTCACACACATTATTACAGCTTACAATATTTATTACTTTTCCTTAATACTTTTATTAGCAATATCACGTGTCATGTTATACACTCTATAGACTCACCATACACGCCCTTGTCCAGGAGCTGTAGAAACTGATTGACTGCTGTTAGCATTTCTTCCTGAGTCAAGTCTACGAGTGAGATTACACAGAAGCCCAATTTTCTGAGGAGTGCAGACAGCTCACATACATCAACCATAGGGGCCAAGAGATTGGGATGACTGATGTAACCGTTATTACCAATCAGCAAAGCAACTTTCCCAGCCGCTGTTAAGAAACAAAATACATTATAAATACAATGTCTGTAGCCATAAGGTAAAATATGCTTGCTATATTTTACTACTTGCATTATGGTCTCCATAAACAGCCAATGATATGCATTTCAGCTGAAATAGTCTAATGCCAGTGTGTCTGACCTAAAATTTCAGGTCTCATAGCTGTCCCTGTCAGCATGACTTCAACTATGATTTTTTTATTTGCCACATTCTGCACTTGGGTAAAGGGTAGTTGAGGGTTAATTAGTCTGCTTTCTATCCGCATGGTAGAGAAATCTTTGGTGCATGACCCCCAAATTAATTGGCATGCCTAAACACAAATTGTATTAAAAAGCAATCTGTTCACATTCTGCAAACAAAGTAGGTGATCGCTATCTGCCACCATCACATACTGTATGTTGTCTGTGTCCAAGGTTAAATTCGAGGCTTTCAGGTCTGTCACACATGTTGGTTTATCCAGAAAGTTATCTGGTTCCTCTTTGCTGTGGCTAAACAATGGGAAAATCCCATATATTGGCAAATTATTTGCTAAAACACTCACCGAAGTATCTTTCGGGTGGTTTTGTACCTACAAGTTGAAAGATAAAAGTATTACATTAAGATAGAATGACATAACAGCTGCACATCAGCCAATATCTTGCTGTCCATTACTGTTACACAAATGAGCATTATTTAAGGTGAACCTATACCAAGAAAATACATACAGGAGCTCTTCATGTGAAAATACTTATACTTTCTGAGTCACTGTCCAAAATTAGTATGAAGCATAAGCGTTCTAACTTTTCTCTGACCTCACTAGCCGCATGCCTGTTCCACATCAGTGCTGAGACTAGAGACAGCCAGGGAATAAATATTTTTAGAAGTAGGTTATTGACAGCCCCAGTGTTTCCTTAGTGCAAGTTTTTTTTTTTTTAAATGCAATCAATGTTGTGTAGCACGACATAGCATGCAGCTTTTGTATCTCATCACTTTAGGTCCCATTCACACCTGTATTTTTAGGTGTGAAAACTATGTTTTCCTGCAGCAAGAACCCCCAATCTGCTGTTTACAAGCAACAGCCTTCACTTGTTCAAGTTAATGATTGGGAGACAGCCACTGCATTTGAATGCCGGCACACCACACGTAATCGTATGTGATAGGATTACATGTGTTGTTAGGAATCAATCACCCTCCCTGGACACATCTATTGAGTGTCCAGGTAGAGAGAGAAATCAAAATCTCCATCAAGTTTCTACTCAAAATATGTTTTTAACAATTACAGGACATATCCCAAAAGAAAATGTTTAACAATGTTTACAACCTAGACATTTAATTCTACAGAAAAGTCCAAAACTTCCTTTTTAGCAACTAGGAGAATCACCTAACTATTATATAGGGCCTATAGAACCCCTGCAGTGGCTCTACAACTTTGGCCAATGGGCTCCCCCTCTTGCTCCGGATGCCATGCTGAATCCGGTATCCTCCTTCACATGTTCTGGAGATGCCCTAAATGATTAAATACTGGCACAAATGATCTCTTATTTATGATAAAATACATGGTACACTCTTAAGGTGCCCATACACCTTACGATTATCGGACGATTTTCGTATGCGATCGACTTTTCGTCCGATAATCGAATGTGTGAATTGCAGTGTCAGACCGACAGTACTGTACAATCGTACGACTTTTGACGATCAAGCATGTTTGAAAACTTCGCTAGATCGTACGATTTTCGTAAGGTTGCTGGCGTTTCCGTCCGTCAAAAGTCGTATGATCTACACTGCGCTTGCGCTAACGAAAATACGGCAAATCAATTACCGCATTTCGTCCAGGTGCTTTTCGTTAATTACGGCTAAATTAATCTTGCGATCATCGGGCAGGATGGGGCTGCCGTACGAAAATCGTACGACTATTCGATCATCGGACGAAAAGTTTCATCCGATAATCGTAAGGTGTATGGGCACCTTTAGGCCTGGTTTACACCTCAGCATTTTTCTGCGCGTATAAACATGCAAAACACAAAAACCAATACATTCTTATGGGGCTAGTTCACACCTGCACATTTGTACGAGCGCACAAAATTACAGAAAGCAGCAAAAAGTACATGCACGATTTTCTGGCTGGTTGCCCCAGCGTTCTGACTGTGGTTGTAGCAGAAAACACATGGAAAAACGTGTGTCTATTAAAAATAGGATTTTTGTACTCACCGTAAAATCCTTTTCTCTCCGTTCATTGAAGGACACAGGCAACAGATCGTAGATCCTGAATGGTAGGGTAATATCGCCACCTGCAGGAGAAGGACGCTAGGCACAAAACTAAAGACCAATTACAGCCTAGGGGCGGCCCCTGCCGGTGGCCAAACCCCCCACCTGCTGACAAGTCTCCAGTTTAGTAACAAGCAGTTAGGAGTGTACACCCCATAAAGAGGGCGGGGCCTGTGTCCTTCAATGAACGGAGAGAAAAGGATTTGAGTACGGTGAGTACAAAAATCCTATTTTCTCTCCCGTTCATTGAAGGACACAGGCAACAGATCGTAGATATGTAGGACGGTGACGTTCTCGGCCGCGATACGTCGCAGAAGCCGAGGCAACAGATACAGTGGAGGCAAGGCATAAAGCAGCCCGTAGGCAAGGCATATAGCAGCCCGTAATGACCCCACGGAGCCACCAGGACAACTACCGCCTCCGCCCAGGGATCCAGGGCCCGGGCCACAAAGCGGTCCACCTCCCGGTTGAACCGAGACGCCAGAAGATCAAATTGCCCACCCCCGGGATGTAATCCCCAGGAGAGAAACCTGAACACCTCCCGACCTGGGGGTTAAGGTATGCCAGCCCGGTGGCATCGTCCGGCCGGACCCAAACTGCCTGACCCTGAAGCCGGGCCGACCAATGAAGGCGATAAAGAGCGAATCGCCCGAAGTTCCAACACAGTTGTCGACAGACGGAGCTCCTCCAGCGACCAACGACGCTGCACGGCCACGAATGGACGACCACCGGCGAGACCGCAGCAGCCGTACTCTGGAACGAAGGTGCAGGAGCTTGTCCCGAGGGAGAAAAAAACCCGGGTCGCGACAGTGTCCAGAACCAGTCCCAGATACTCCAGGCGTGGAAAAGGCACCAGGCAAGACTTCCGGAGGTTCAGGAGCCAACCGAACTCCTCCAAGGACTGTTCCGGGACCTCCAGAGCCACCACCAGAGAGGAGTGCGACTCCGCCCGCAGAAGCAGATCGTCCAGGTACCCCACGATCGAAACCCCCCGACAACGCAACAGCGCCAGAATCAGGGCAAGCACCCCGGTGAACACCCTGCTGAAAGGCAGCGCCACCAAATGAATATGCCACCGCGAAACGGAGATATCTCTACTCATACTCGCCCAAATGTTTGATACTTAACTCCGATACCAGAACTTTCTTTCCAATCAGGAAGCCAGGTGATGGGTTATGACCCGCCTCCCAGTTACCGGATCGGCTGGGAAGCCGGCTTCACTTGTTACTAGGCAGCCTGGCTTCCTAACCAACTAATCAGGAAGCCGGGCGACTTATAATGACTCGCTTCCCAGCTTCCTGATTGGTCAGGAAGCCACGCTGCCTAGCAAGTAAAGCGGGTCACGACGTGCCTACCGGCTTCCTGACTGGCTAGGAAGTAGGCTTCACTTGTTGCTAGGCAGTCTAGTTGCCTCTCCGCCCGGCTTCCTGATTAGTCAGGAAGCCAGGCAGGCTCGGCAAGTGAAGCCGGTGTTCTTTCGCTAGAACATCGGCTTCACAAGCAATCAGGAAGCCAGGTGACGGGTTATGATCACCACCCGACTTCCTGATAATCGGGACCCACAGCACTGGTACTCGGTATCGCCGAGTAATGGAAAAAAAAAGAAAATATCGGTATTCGTACTCGATTCCCGAAAAAACGGTATTAGTGCATCCCCAGTTCTAACCTTTTTACACCATTTCTACAAAATGTGTCTTAATTGTTGTCTGTGACCCTATTGGAGGGATTTATCCAATACTTCCAGTCTCAGTGAGCATTGTCACTGCAATAAGAAGAAAAAAGTCAGTAAAATTAAACTTTTAACTCTAATAAAACAATAAAGTTCTAACTCGAGTTACAACTTAAATGCACATCAATCATTTCTTCTTTAGGTGCAGTCTGTAATTCTTATGAAACTTGCAAAAACAATTGTAATTACCTGTCCTTACTGAAGGTGGTGGGGGTGGCTGGAGAATAACATTTTCCTCTGAAAAGCAAAGATAATTTATTTTCAAGAATTTCGTATTACCCCACACAGCCCATAAATAACAGCTGAAGTTTTAATAACCATAATGGAACTATGTATATTTTTACCTATGCTAAGTTCAGCAGGTTCACTCCATCTTTCCCCATGGGCATTAGACACACAACAGAGGTAGCTACCACAGTCGGTGGCCTTCATTGACTTGATCTAAAACAAAATATATAGAAATTATTTTTTTCATAGCAATCTGCCCTTTAACATGAAAGTTATTTCTGTAACTTTTTTCCTTTTTTTTACAGAACAAGCAGTTTTAAGTGGGGCAGCAGTTTGGATGGGTTATGGTAAAAAAAAGCAGGCAATTTCTTGTTTTCCCCACTTATACCAACAGTTAACAGAGGAGACATGAAATCTGGCAATGCCTTTGTTTTGCCCCTTCATTAATTATAACCACTAATTTACTTTAGAGCATCGTCACCATTCCGAGCACACAAGATCCTCTGACTAATTTTTTAGACTAAGTTGTTAAAAATGTTACCAAAGCCAACAAAAATATCAGCTACATGTATACTAACAACTAGGAGTTTCTACAAAAATTCTAACACTAATCCAGGATTGAACACATAAAATGGAAGGACAAATGACCATCAAATGGTTTAATGAAGAAACTGCTTTTAGAACATGCACTGATGCCATATTTCATTCATCTTTAAAACCAGCTGCTGCCTTGTCACCATTTAGAATCAACTTAGTGACACTTATTGCTATGGCTTTTGCAGCACATGTGATACTACCTTGTTATATATGTGCCAGTTAATGCTATAAAAGCCACAGTTAATTGAGGAGCTCTCTTTGCATTCAGTTGTACTATCTTTATATTAATATGTGCAATATAATTTAATCAACAGCATGATACAGCATGATGATAAAACATACCTCCATCATAGAAAAGTAAAATTGAAAACTGCATTCTCACCATGATCTGCCTCTCCTGTCTATGAGGCAGGCAGAGCCCATTGTGGTACCACTCGTATTCGGGTGCTGGAATTCCCAAAGCACTGCACTGGAGCTTGGCAGATTTGTGGGATTTCACTTGTGCAGAGAGCGGATTGGTAACTATGATAGGCTCACCATTCCAATCATGAGGGAGGCAGTCTGAAATTATGGTTTAAACAAAATATTTGAAATTAATTGTCTAAACATTTATTTCTTACATATAGTTTACATTATATTGCCTCCACTACTGTCTAGGGCAGTCATGGCGAATGTTTTTGAACCCGAGTGCCCAAACTGCAACATAAAATCAATGTATTTATAAGTGCCAACATTGAAAATAAGTTTGGTATTGTGTTTTAGCTTGGGCACTGGGGTTTAAAAAACGTTCAGCATCACTGCCTTCAGCAAAATAGGGAAAAACACATATTCAAATATTTATACACTCACAGATACAAACACATATAACCACACACTCATATAACCACACTCATATGAAACACACTCATAAAACACACACACCGATAAAAATACACCACACACTCATAAAAACACACACATATCATACACATTTATTAAACACACTAGGGATGCACTGATAGCGATACCAAGTATTTGGGCGAGTACTCGTACTCGCCAAAATGCTCCCGATGCTTGTCCCGATACCAGAACTTCTGTCATCAGGAAGCCGGACAGCGAGTCTTTACACACCGTCCAGCTTCCTGATTGGTGGTTTGCAGGTAATGACTTGTGGGGATGATAAGTCTGTCTGTGTTTCTGGAACAAGGACAATACATGTGGAGAAGAACAGGAAAAAGGCCTACTTAGCAGAACAACATGAGGTTAATTTGCTAAAGTGCAAGAGAAATAAGATTTGTATTGTTGTTTGCACATGATTGGATCATGGACGTCAGCAGAGCTAAAAGGAAGCTATGAGAAAATTCCCCTGCAAATTGAACAGCTTATTTGCCTTTAGTAAATCAACCTCCATATCTCTGCTGCTTCTGTGTACTCATACAGATCAGGAAATGTTGACTACAGGCACTGATCCCTATAGGTTCGTTATTAAAGGAAATATAATCATTTATGTTTGATATGTCTGCAGATACAGTTCTAATTAAAGGTAGGAGGCTGACCTGTTATGTGAAAATTCTGCTGTGTTTACTTCCATGGTCTTAATTTATAGTCCCACATTGGAAACATTTTTAGAGGATTTCTCTTTAGGAAGAATGGTCGATGTGTTTGCGCCCTACAAATGATCTGCTTTGGAAATCTTACCCTCAGGAATGTTCCTCAGTACTTTCACCTTCACCCACCCACTGAACAAGAAGTGGTGGTGCTGGTCATTTACACGACAGATATACAGCTGTGTTTGTCTGGCCTCGATGTGCAGGTCAGGTCGGGTGGCCCCTGGAATTTCTTGTGACTCTCTGGACTGATGATAGGAAAAATTCATGTTACTGGATGCAATAAGATGCACAAAATAATCAAAGCTTAAAAGGGGCTAATGTCTCTATTGGATACCCATTCAAACCAAGGCACATGTGTTGCAGTGTGCATGCATGGTAACAAAAGCATGTAGGTGCAAATGGCCCAAAGTGTTTAACTTTAAAACAGACTAAACTGTAGTTGGGAACCAAACAAATAGGAAAGAATCAAATTTCTGTTTGAAATGTATCCTAATTCATGGGTTTTACTGCCAGAAACTTTAAGTTGGCCACACACGTTACATTCTTATTGTTCAGTCTTCATAAAATTAGATTTACCAAAATTATGTAGTCTACCTAAACATTTGCTTCCTGTCAGATAAGTTGTTGGTAGATCTAGAGGAGATTGTACAATCAGATTGCAAGGTAAATATCCAGCTTTACTCAATAAATTGTTTTTTTTTCTGGGTGTTGCGCAAAGCAAAGCAAATTTGTTCTGATTTGCTTACTTGCACTACACACATAAATTGCTAAAATGATTATTGGTTACGCTGGACAATGGAGAGATCTTCTGTGCAACCTTCTATAAAAATGTACATGTCTCTTCAGACAAACCAAGATGACATCATGGATTTATTTTTTTAAAGAGAATACTATATAGGCAGAATTATGGAAGTCACCATTACTGCATTTTTGGTCATGTTTCCAGGCTGACATCCTGATCATGACTTTACTCCTTCGTGAATTACTGATCCTGAACAAGTAAACTGACAGTGAAGTCAGGGCTCCTGCAGTTCATATTTGCTCCAGGTCAGTGACTCACTATGCTGTGAAATAAAGAAGATCAGGACAGTCCCAGAGATTGCATCTTCTGTCCTCACTGGTTCTCAGAAAACCATATGCAACATGACATGACACTTATAAAGTTGTTATTATTCAGTCATATGACATTCTCAGCAGTGCAAATACACTTTCTATATTCTGTGAAGATGCCAATATGCTTAAAGGAGAGGTTCACAATAAACACTCAACAGTCCCCCTTCCTACCACCACCTGCAGTGTTTTTAACTTGAATTACTCCAACAGTTTCGGTATAGCCCATTCAAGTCTATGTGGAGTTACTATGCAGGACAAGATTTCGAGTAGGCTAGAGTGTTGGGAGGGGGCTGTTGAGATTTAATTGTAACATGAACCCATCCTTTAAAATAAAAACCTGTAACACAGACACAGGGTTATGATGAGGTGGGCTTAAATTACCTAAAGATCACTCCCTGATTTCCATGCACTGCATTGATGGGCAATAAGTGTTAAACAGCTATATGCAGATTGAATGACTCTGTAACACTTGGCTGTATTTGTGCTATAAACCAGCGGCCTTGATGTTCATATAGTACAGAAGCATAAAGGAATTACAACCCCAATTCTAAAAAAGTTAGGACACTGTGTAAAATCTACATAAAAACAGGATGCAATGATTTGCAAATCTTATAAACCCTTATTTTATTCACAATAGAAAACATATCAAATGTTTAAACTGAGAAAATTTACAATTTTAAGAAAAAAATAAGGTAATTCTGAAATTGACGACAGCAAAACGTCTCAAAAAAGTTGGTACAGGGCCATGTTTACGACGGTGTAGCATTCCCTCTTCTTTTAACAGCACTATATAAACATCTGGGAACTGAGGAGACCAGTTGCTGGAGTTTTGGGAGATGAATATTGTCCCATTCTTGCCTGATATGGGATTCTAACTGCTGATCCTGCCAGTCTCCATTATGCTGCAGGATTTCCTATTCAGAGCTAACCATGTTAACCATGGATGCACGTGGTACCGTGGTCAGTTTGCATCCTTTCTCCTTTCATTGGGATCCACAGGATGCCGTATTCCTGTATCCATGTTGTTAGCTTCTGCTATGACAGACTCACACGAGCCCTGCAAAGACCTGCAGGGCCTGATTGACAGGGACTCCTGACTGGAATCTCGCTATCAAAACACTTATCATAACCACGCCTCCCCCCATTATGGCAGAAAATAAGTTATTGCCACAAAATAAATCTTCTTTTTAAGGTAGTTGGGAGCCTTTTTGCGATGTACAGTACTGTTTTATAGTTCATGGAGCACTTATGTTGGCATAGTCTCTATGTAATATGCAAAATTAACTTAAACTTTAAAGCATGTATATCAGGGGACTGGTCTTCTAATATTTTAACCATAAAGTGCAGTATGTTGTTTTGGTTTTTTTGCCGATAAAAGCCTTGATGATTCAATTAACAAAGCCAGCAGCTTATGAAACTTTAGTTTAAATTAAACTAGAAGTATAGCAACTTTGCTTTAGCATAGAGAGAATTGGGCAGAGCTGGATCCTTTGTCAAATATTTTTGCTGCCTTGTGTTCCATTGAGGAAATTTTAATGCAATTTCTAGGCGATATGATCCTAGTGGAGACAGCAGACAGCCGCTTTGTAGACTTGAAGGAGAACTATGAGGTGAGCGCTTTTCACTCACCTCATAGTTCTAGCCAACCTGTGACAATGAGACTGTCACAGGTCGGCTCAGTAGATCGGGAAGTGAGCGAACACATACCAGCGTTCGCTCACCTCTCGATCCTGTCACAGCCCTCTGCCGTGACAAGGGAGGGGCTGGATTCCCCCCTCCCCGCTCCGATCCACCAGCGCTGACTGGCGGATCAGACGGGGGAGGGTACAGCTGGCTCTGGTTCTAGATAGGCAGAGCCAGCTGTCACTCACGCAGCTGGGCAGATCCAGACATAATTGTCGGATCTGCCCAGGGAGAACTATGCGGAAAAGCCTTAACCCCATAGTTCTCCTTTAACAGACATTCTAAACCATTACTAGTCTATAAAAATTTAAAAAAAAACTAATTTGGATACATTTCTACTTTAACAAACCTTCTGGGTATAAGGGAATCGCAGTGAACACCTTGGGGTGTCATGACCTGATAAGGGGACGCGTTCACCAGTTTACATTGAATGGAATTGTAATGCACAATATTAAATCTCCCTTACTGGTCAGCCAGGCACTTTCTTTGGTTAGGGGAATGGCAATTAGTGGGGCTTGACCAGTAGCCAGCAAACTCAGGTCCATCAATCAAAATTGGAATTAGTTTAGGAGAAGCACAAGGGGAGATTCTTTTCTAAGAACAGTAACTGCAGGGAACTTGTAGTGTCTGCTCTTAGGGAGGGCATTTACTTTTAAATTTTAACATGGCTGACAGGTTCACTTTAAAGTCATGGTCATTAAGAAAAACAACTACAGTTTTGTGGCTACTTCTATATACAAAGTGAACAAAGTGCATAAATACATTTTGTCTCATTGTAGCTAGCTTATTTTAGATCACTTTTCTATTAGGAAAAAAACTATATAAGAGTACCTAGTAACCCGTTTATTTGAAACAAACGTCAGATGTTTACTAATTAAAAAGTTATGTACATGGGTGACATGGTAAGTAGTCTAATCTGAAACATGACATACAGTATATGCAAGTAGTGCAGCAGCAATGCTGCAAGGTGCAAGAGGTAGTATAAACCCAAACTCACAACTTTCACTGTAAAATGATAGACATGGGAGACAGGCATACAAAGATCGAAAGCTTATCAAAGAGGATCATTTTATGCACTCAGGTAAACAACTACTGCTCATATTTTCAACCCTTAAGTGACCAATATAGCCTGTAGTACCCTCCAATGTTTGGTAAATATAGTAGTGGTGCAGTGTACCCAAAAGTAATATTTAAACTACAGGTGGTGCTCAGTGGGCATAGTCAGCTCTTGGCTTTGTTAGACATGATGGATAACAGTGGGATCTCCCTGCCATAGTTCTTAACCTCTGTCCTCGTAACTGTTCTGTTCCCATCTACCTGGGAGTTTTGGATGTTCCTGTCTACCTTTGTACGGTGCAGCACCGACTGTTGCATTCTCCAATCTAAAGGTGCCTATACACCTTACGACCATCGCAAGACTTCTGTCTTGCGATGGTCGTAAGCTTATTAAAAGCTCATACGATCTGCCCATCTTGGACAGGCAGATCGTACTTGCAATCAAATATGTATATGTGTTTTGCCTGGGATATCACCAAATTCTGCTGCATTATTTGCATAGGTTGTTTTGCCATATTAGAGAACAGTGGAACAAACAGCTGCTGGACATGGGCCAGCTTAGTTACATGTAATTACCTACTGTATGTGGCACTGGGGATGCAGAAATTCACTGTTGTATTCTGTACTACTTATAGTCAGTGTTGTTCTGTTCCAAGTGCTGCTGGAATGACTTGTCATCTGAACACGGGGAGTTTCTTGCTCCCATACCTCCACCATTTAGCCAACGTCTTGCACTTATTTCAATTGTTTCTTTCTCCTCCTCTCCCCCTTGTCCAAACAGAGAATGCTTTGTTTTCATAAAATAAAAAACACTATGTTTGCTGAATGGTGAAGGTACATCACCGAGCGACTCCCTGTGTACAGTGTACAGAAGGCAAATTGCTCCAGCAGCACCCAGAGCAGGACAGAGCTGGCTGTTTGTAGCACAGACAGCTACAGTGAATTTCAGCATCCGCATCGGCCCTCTGGATGTGACACAAGGATAATTACATGTAACCAAGCTAACCAAATGTAGGTTTAAAAAAATAAGAGAATTACTGGAGTTTAGCTTTAAACTGAAGACGCATACAGCTGCTTGTAGTAACAAAGAATATGTTTTCAATACTTAAAACATTACAACCATGGAGGATTATAATTATAAAAAAATGGGACCACATTTAAATGAACCTGACATGGTGCTAACCTTTTAAATCTATTGTATCTTCCAAAACATCTACACAAAAGGTGCCTGCACATACCTTCACTAGTCAGTATAACATCTTCAGTGTATCTGGGTAACAGCCTATCCCCCTACCTACCAGACACAGGTGCACACTGTAAGGAGGATTTCAAGTTGGAAAACCACCTCAGCCAGCATCCCCCTTTCCACAGTGGCCACCTCTCTATTGGTTGTTGTAGTGCTGAAAACAGAGTTTTTGGGCACTGGGGAGGATGCACCACAGCTTCCACGTGGGGCTAAATTGAAGAACACAGGCAGATGTCCTTGAGTCCAGGCAGCAACATTGGCACACAGATGTTTTGATGTAATGGTACCTGCTCCTTGGGATACATGACCTTTACTAGGTTTACATTAAAGTTATTTTTATTAACTGGGACATATCAACATACTGATTCTGCATTGGCTCTGTCTACGAAATTCTCTATAAATTCCCCCAGTCTATTATGGTGGAAAACATGCTTGACAATGCATCTGTGACAGATGACTAAAACTGTGAATGTGTAAGAAACCAACGTTACTAACTATCTAACAATCAGAGAAAGAGGGTGATTTATAGTAAACACACTTTCTCTGCAGTGGAAATGTAGGTTTTTTTCAGACAGGCATAGCAAAAAAGGAAGTGACTCTTCAAACATGTTTGCTCCATGAGCTCAGCATTCTATTAATAAACACTGTAGATTACTTGAGCAAGTAAATCTTTAATATTACCTCTGACTGCACAAACCACTGATAGTGGAGCACTGTGGGACCTTGAGCCCGACAACGTAGGGTGAAGGGAAAGTCCGGGGGAACACAGGCACACACGGGTTGCTCTATGATTCGGATTTCTACAAATAAAAGAGGACGCGTGTTAATTCCACTGATAAAGTAATGTAACAAGCTCACCACAAGTACAAATAAACACAAATCTATGCACCATAATATATCAGTGTTTATTATGTCGAAGAATTTATAGTGTACCTAAAAGGCTAAAACAAAAAAACTTTTCTTTTTAGTTTTGAATAGAGCAGGGAATGGGTAAAACCCAGTCAGATTTTTTTCTTGGCTGCATTTTCTTCTGTTGGGGAGATTTCCCTTTACTTCCTGCCCTGAAGGCACATGTAGACACAACAGTTAAATTTCTTGAGGGGAAAACAGACACAAATGCAAAGCAAACACAGGTTCTAACTCATTCCCACTCCATCTAAAACTGAAATAAAAATGTTTTGGCTTTAGATATACTTTAACATATATAATTATCTTTAACATTATGTAAATATCTACATAATTCATCCCTTCATGACCAGGGGTTATTAAACCTCAGCTGCCCAGACCAAATTTAAAAGGAGAACTATGAGGCGAGTGAAAATCACTCAGCCTCATAGTTTTAGCCGACCTGTGACAATAAAACTGTCACACGTCAACTCAAAAGATCGGGAAGTGAGCGAACACATACCGTCGCTCGCTCACTTCTCGATCCTTTCCCTGCAGAGAGCCGTGACTGTCACTCACAGCTCCCTGCAGGGAAAGCCCCCTCCCCGCTCCTACAGCGCTGATTGGAGGAAAGGACGGGGGAGGGGCGGGTACAGCTGGCTCTGCCTCTAGATAGGCAGAGCCAGCTGTCACTCACAGCTGGGTGGCTCTCGACAGTAATGGTCGGGATCCGTCACAGCTGCGGCGTCCCAGTATACCACGAGCTGTAGCTCGCAGTATACTGAGCTTTGGGTGACGGGAGGACGCTTGTTTGTGTACTCCCGTTACCCTTAGAAGAACTATGGGGAAAAGCCCTAACCCCATAGTTCTCCTTTAACAGCGTCAGTATATGTTGGTCAACATGACAATAACTCCCTGGCTAAGGCTAATTTCAGATGGGTGGCAAGCTGCACCGCCCCTCTGAAAAGCAATTTGTGGTGGATCCTTTTTTAAAGGGCGGTGGAGCAGGGTTTTATCTATCCCAATGGGGATTTTCCTCCTGTAATACCACTCCGCAAACACGTAGCCATGTAGTTGCAAAACAGTCCCAGTGGTTACAACTATAGCATATGGAAAGCAAAACTGCCTGCCAAACGGCAACTGCTGTTAAAGGGCTTGTTTCACTGAACTGTAGCCCATAAAACACAAAGGGATACATTGGGATGCATTTTTAGTGCAGGAGCGTACGGATCAGGTCAGCACCATAAACGGACGTCGTGTGAACAGGCCCTTAGTGACAGCTGAAGCCAACATGTGTGTTTTGCAAGATCAGGAACAACACTGATTGGTTCTCAATTGTTAGTGTAGACCAGTGGCCTGTCAGTGACAGTGCAGCCTCAGAGCTGGGAGCGCACATAGGTGCATTCTTCTACTTCAAAAATCAAATGTTAACATTCTGGGTACCATACCTGAGAGTGTAAAGGTGCCCATACACCTTACAATTATCTGCAGATTTTCTGTGGTCAGATGGAAAAAGTGCAACAGATTGGCCCAGGTGGAGATTACTCCATCCACACAGTTAAGTGTAGATGGAGGAATCTGTTGCACCTTTTCCATCTGACCACAGAAAATCTGCAGATAATTGTAAGGTGTATGGCCAGCTTTAGCCACTTTACCTAAACTAGCCAAGAGATTCCCCACTGATTACCTACCTCAGAATCACAGCTGTGGCCACCTTCATTATTCACATCTTTCACCCTAGCCACACCTGTGCAGTGAGTCCCCATAGAATGAAGTTGTTCACTTTCTCTTGCAACTTATCATTCAGCTTGTCTGTTTGCCTATACATGGGTTTCACTGACTTAAGGTGCCCGTACACCTTACAACCATCGCAAGACTTTTGTCTTGCGATGGTCGTATGCTTATTGAAAGCTCGTACGATCTGCCCACTTTGGACAGGCAGATCGTACTTGCGATCATCGAGAGCCCGCCCCACTGAGGGGCGGGCTTCCAAAGAACACAATGCAGAACGGGCAGTGTGCGCGTGCGCACACCGGCACGTTCCGCAGCTATCGGACGAGCAGGCTAGAAACCCGCCGACAATCGTACGATTCTCGGCGGGTTTTCGAGCATGTTGGTTCGACAAAAGACGTGCGACCGTACAGTAGAAACGGTTGCACGTCTTCGTTCACACTGCTCGATTCTCGTACGATCGCGGGATTTCGCCCGATTCTCGTACGAGAATCGAACAGTGTATGGGCACCTTTACAGTATACAGTATAGTCAAGCTGATATATAAACCTTACTCCAAACACTTACTTTAATAAGTTTTGTTTTCACAACAATTGTATATTTTATAAAGCTTAATTTTCTATAGCTCATGGAAATCCCATTTAAGTACAGATGACCAAAACTGTACCACGTACTCCAGATGTGGCCTAACCAGTGTTCTGTACAATGGTAACATTTTATTTCTATCCCTTGAATACATACCTCTTTTAATACAAGTTAGTATTCTACTTGGTTTGTTGGCTGCAGCTTGTAATTGCATGCTATTGCTGAGCCTGTGGTCTATGGGTCTTTTTCCATCTCCAATTTCCCTAGCGGAACCTCTCCCTAAGTGTATTCTGCATTTGTGTTCTGTGCTCCCAAGTGCATGACTTTACATTTGTCTAGATTAAAACTCATAAGCAGAAACAGTCAGTGAGCCATTTATTCCAACCTCTATATCATCTATCAGTAGGATAAACAGAATTGGCCCCAATACTGAACCTTGAACTGAATATGGAACATGTGCAATGGGACAATTTCTATATTAACGTTATTCTATATTAATTACTAAAAAACAATGTATTAGAATTTCTTGCTGCAAATTCATGAAAAGCATAAGGCACTATGTATTTCTGCTCCTACCTTTCAGCATGATTACTCATCTGCTGGGCCTGTGGGCATATGGAAGACATTACAGATGGGACATTGCACAGTCTTATGTCATCCTATTCTTCTAGCCAACTGGAGACAAAGAAAAAACAAGAGTGTTAAAGTCAGTTAGTAAATATGGTAAGAAAAAAAAAACCATTGTTACATAACAGCTGCCGAACACATCCATGTTAAAAGTTATTTTAAACCCCCGTTTATTTGCTGAAGAAACAAGGAACCTCTTGACAGCATGATTTATGAGAAGTGGTGAGCTCAATAGCCAAGACTGAAATGTTTTGCTGTTTCTGCTTGACAGAGCTGTGGCCAACAAAACACACGGCCCATGATGTTCTGCACTGTCCAAGTAATCTAGTTGTCCGATGGTATGAATGCTGCATTGATCCCAATATAGATGTTTTGCCAAATCTATGAAAGGCCAGACCCAATGTGTTCAAGCAACAGTTGGCACTGGCCAGCTCAGTTTTTCAATGTGTAGATTCGCTTCAGAGGCAGGACAATGTATTAAACAATTGAGGGCAACTGATAAAATAGTTTTTTGTGGGTGATAGCTAAATCATCTCTCATTTGAGGTTCACGGTTCTGCCCCCCATTGCAGATGTCATAAAGAAAGGAGACTCAAACATCTTGCTCTATTTTCTATACAGCTATACAAAATAAGCATTCCAGGGCCCTTCATAGTGACTATGGCATATGGAAAGAATCCAGACAGAGGAAATGAAGGGTAAGTTAATTGTTAACAATTAACTTACCCTTCAGACGAAAAGGAGCATATTACAGAATGTACAAAGAGGGGAATTTATCAAAACTGGATCAGACAAAATCTGGAGCAGCTGTGCATGGCCTCCAATCAGCATCGACGAGTCATTTTCAAAGCTTAACGGAACAAACTGAAGTGAGAAGCTGATACTTTTCCATAGGCAACTGCTCCACATTTTGTCTATCCTAGTTTTGATAAACCCCCCCTGCCCCCCCCC